TTATTTCGGCTTGTTGACAAGTTCGCTGCAGAGGGGTTGCATCCCTCCTTATCAATAATTTTGAAAAGCTTTTTCATTCACGCCAAACGGCTGCCCTGAAGCCAGCAGCTTTTAATAGCATTAAGTCTTAGAGCAAATCAATTTCTGTCTCAATTATGTGCCAGCCTTGTGCTCCCCTCAAAACCTTTTACTTCCCTCTTAGGAGACGATCTCTTCATCACTCAGTACCGCCAGGCCTGAATATAAATACTGCGTTGTTGTGTGCACTGCCAGAAGACCTGGAAGCCAGCCATCACCCAACCATTTTAATAGCAACCTTTGGAAGAAACCAGCAGTGTCACCCATGTATTACAAGGCATTACTGGCCGGTCTGAAAAATCAAAGCCATGATTCATTGTTCAGCGAAGAGGGAAAAGGGGGCTCCATTCCTGCATTGCTGTTTGACCTTATCCCTTCCCCTTGGAGGCAAAAGAAGTTGCGAAGGCTGTTGGACCTTAACTGGCGCAAGAAATAAATCAAATGTGGCTGAGAAAGCTTTAATGGTCTCATTGCACAAGGACAAATAGTGGTTTCAGGTACAAATACCATCTTACTTTGGTGAGGAAGACAAAGGCGATAGGCATGACTTAAGATGAAGGGCTTTGCTTCTTAATTAAACTTAATATGGAGAAACAAAGCATCCCGTGTTGGTGGTTGGGTTTGGTAGTTGTTGCTTGTTTTTAAAGGAATAATTGGCAAAGATCAATCAAGACTAAGTTGATAGATTGCTCACTTTGTAGGTGTTTGGAATGCCAGAGCAAATGAACTGTGAGCAAAGGAAAAACTATCACCCCTGATACAACACCCCCTGGACGCTTCCGCAATCATGAAGAAACACAATATGGCCATATTTCACAACACTTAGAGAGAAATTATGGGAATGCAGAACCACAGAATAAATCTATGATAAATCTGGTAGTTTGAAAAACCTGGTCCTCCATTTTAATATATTGGTTTTAAGCAATGTCCTGGCCCTCATTACTGCAAAGGAAGAAGACTGGAACCAAAAGATAAATACTTTCTGATTGTATGCAGAGTGGTGAAGGCGGGCGGAGGAAAGCTACATTTCTCTGCAGTTTACAAAAACCAGCTTTTTATTCTGGAAGCTCTAGGAGTCCACAGACTTGTCATTGATGGCATTCTTGTATTCCCCAAGCCTTGTGTTTTCCACTGGCTGCGCTTGATCTAAAGAGTTATGTCTCTAACTCTGGCAAAATCTTTCTAGAACCTGTACTTTTGACCAGGTCAAGCCCAATAATCTGTGCAGCTGATCCAGATAATCCGTGTACCAGGTGAGCACTGAAATGGCAATACCGAACTCTAAAATATGGCCACTAGCTTTATAATAATAGAATCACAGCATCATAGAGTTGGAAAAGACCACAAGGGCCATCCAGTCCAACTCTATTCTGCCATGCAGGAAAACACAATCAAAGTACAGTATATTCTGGTGTATAAGACTACTTTTTAACCCAAGAAAATCTTCTCAAAAGTCAGGGGTCATCTTATATGCGGGTGTAGTCTTATGCATGGGAGTCGTCTTAACTCTATATTTTAACTGGAAAAGTTGGGGGTCGTCTTATACGCCCAGTCGTCTTATATGCCAGAATATACGGTACTCTTGACAAATGGCCATCCAGCCACTGTTTAAACACCTCTAGAGAAGGAGACTCCATCACACCCCCAAAGCAGCATATTCAAACAGCTTTTACTTTACTCCTCCTAATATTTAGGTGGAAACTTTTTTCCTGTAGTTAGGATCCATTGCTCCATGTTTTAGGACTTTATCACATCGGGATATAATCTGTTTATATCGGTATGCATTCCATATTTTTTTTAGGACCAGATGCATATTGTATTGAGACAGGATGCATACTCTCCTCATCACACCCAATTATTCCAATTCTTATTATTTGAAAATACTGCGCTTTGACTCATCACATCACGGAGGTCTGGCTCCTTCTAATCAATTCAAACACCCCACATCACTCTATGACCTTTTAAAAAGTGTCATTGCTGATGGATGGCACACAGATTTTCCTATCACACACAAAAACAGTGCTTCAACAATGGAAGAAACCACAGTATTTCAACAAACACAATTAGAATTCAGTCTGCAAATAATCAGTTTCTTTTTGCAGATGGTTTCTGACAGAATAATGATTGAATGAGGCAAGCTTCAGGTGATGGGACCCATTCAAAATCATTCTGAAACAGTCTTAGAAATGGAGTATTTCCCAATGTGATAAGGTCCTAAGTATTTGGAACACTAGAAAGGCAGTTTGCTTTCTCTTTTGTCCAGTTCTAGCAACTTCATGTGCCAATAGCCATGTTTATATTGCTCCTCAAAGTCAATTATTTCCAGATTACTCTTTTCTATAGTCTCTGGCATTGGCTAGACAACCATCACTCATGGCAGAATTAGTGTAGACACCCAGCTCAACTCCACCACACAAACACTCTTAGTGTTTTCTTTAACTAGTAGCCACGTGCCAGGTCTCATGTCACCCACTACCAGATTATTTAAACTGGAAACAGCAGAGGTCCAAACTAAGACTTTCTGCATGCAAAGTTCTGTGCCAAAGTCTCTCTCTGTGTGTTTATGTGCCTTCAAGTCACCTGATGATTTACAGTAACTTTATGAATTTCATAAGGGTTTTCTGGGCAAAAATACGCATAGGTGATTTTCAAGTTCTTTCCTCACAGTAGGCTACAGCTTCTAGTATTTGTTGATGGTCTTTCATCGAAGAACTAACCAAGACTGACCATGCTTAGGTTTCAAAAGCAGTCAGGATCTGCTATCTTTAGGATATTTGGTTCTCCACTATGGTCCCCAGGCCACATAAATATTGTAAAGACATTCACAGATTGCATTCTACTCCCTCAGAATTATTGGTTGAAACCCATTTTGCACAAATGGAAGATATTAAAACTCACAATCAAATCTGCTATAGTGATATACACAGGGAGAATTTCCGGCTTCTAGAAGAGATATCTATTACAAAGTGCAATATATCAGATGCACGGGTGTGTGTGTCAAAATAACTCATTCTGTGATGAATGAAATGACAAGATGGACAATAAATAATTTGTTCTAATCTTGTCCTCAATAAATGTCTTTCTTGGGTGTTTTCTGGATATCCTGGCTGTAGGTGAGGTAGCAGCTGGTGACCTTGTTACTTTGAGACTTACTGCAAACACCACAAGAGTTCTTCAATTTATTCCTAGTACTGATCCAAAGAGCACTGTGTTTCTCTCAAATAATCCCTGTTTCTCTATGGCAAGTAGCCTTGTGCATTTTGGTTGAACCTCAATCCATTTCTGCTGACCAAATTCCGGGAGACCCACGGATCTGTTTTCTTGCACCTACCAAAAACGGGTGGGTTGTTGAATAGCCGTTTCTGGTCTGCATCTGAAAGATCTGGGAATATCCGACCCACTGGCAGGAATGGGGAACTTACAAGGTCCCCTTTTCCATTCCTGGGATCCTTTCCTTTTTTTCCTTTCAAGGGAGCCTGGGTTTGAAGAACAGGGTTAAGGAAGTTTCCTTCCTGGGACCTTTTCCTTAAACACAGTTTGTGTAAGACACATCACTGTGTTTTTCTATTTTGATTTGCCCAACAGGCAGAACTCATAGGAAAAACCCACATGAGTAGCATGCAGGAGCCTCGCTGTGCCATGTGGTGCCAAATAGGGGAGGATGAGCTGTGATCAGCTGCCATGTGGTCCCATAACAGACAAAAATGCATGACGGCTGAGCCCTTACCATTACGGTCATCTGGCCAAGCCAAGCTGGGTTGGCCAAAGGGAACCGACTACTCCAAAGCCATGCACAAGCCTAATGGCAAAAATATTATTTATGACAAGTAAGTTTGGTTATCTATAGGAAACCAGTACAAAGTATTTTAAAGAACCCATTGACCAAAGATAAAAGAAAACTTCATGTGAACTATCCTTGCCAAGAAGACCCATGATAGGTTCATCTGAGAGTCACCATCAGTCAAAAATGATCTGTAGGCACATAGCAACAACATGAGCTGAATAGTGAAAGCTCCAAAATTCACCAGCAGAAAAATATAATAAATCATAACTGCTGCAAGGAGCTAACGGTCAGAGATGTTATTTTGACACCCCCCCCCCCCCCCCAATTGGTGACTGACCCTGGTGTATGAGGGCTCTGAAAGCTGGAATATTACAACATCTTATTGGCCACAGGTTCCTCAGCCCTGGATTACAAGATAACCACATCAAAAGATGGATTCATATGAAGAGTCTGCTCACAACAGAAATAATCAGAAATAGAATCTATGTAGATTTGGATTGTGTGAAAGATCTGGGCTAGCATGATCACCTTAGCTTTGCTTGCATCTTGGACTTCTTCCTATTACCTATGTTGATGTGGCTCCCACGATGCTGTGATTTCAAAAATCAAATGCACCATGGGAATATCTGCTATTGAAATGTTTTCATAAATAAATTAATCTTTTGTGATTAGGAGTGGCATCAGCTATTATGCAAGAACATGGTTAATACCTAAATACAGGAAACAAATCACAGCCCACATGTGGCAATAATTTCAAATAACTAGACCATCAGAATTGAAATCATTGTATCCTTGTTAATCAAGCCCTGTTATCTCCTTTAAGAAAAAAAAAACCTGGCTCTGATCCAACAAAGTACTGTATGCATAAATAACTAATAGTAAATGCACAGCTAACTTTATTACTTTTACTGGATGCCTAGCAGTTGTTATCACTGAAGTGCCAGTCACTTTTTAAATGTGAAGGAATGCAAAACATGTAAGTTGGGGAGTTCCATGGAGGAATTCTCAAAGTGGAAATTGCTGGGTAAATTATGCTGCATACATGAATCTGGCATGTGCATGTGCCTTGATTTATAGCTTAGGAATTCTAAGTAGTTTGGTGAGGATTACTGGAGATTGTGTGGTAACAAATACATACGTTGGTCGCACTTCAGTCCAATCCAGCCAGGGAGACACTGACATGTTCCAGCAATGTGATCACAGGCAGCTCCATTCTTGCAGTCACATATCTGGCCACAGTCAACCCCAAAGAAGCCATGTGGACAAGCTAAGGACAGAGAAATGAAGAAGTGGTAATTCTGATATGTATAAGCATAATTACAGAGAGCAATCTTTGTTCTCCACCATCCCAACGAAACAGAGCTTTTAGGAATACAAGTAGGACTGGAAATTCACCATTTAAATAGTTTGAAGGAACGCCCTGACCTGCATCAAACAGTTCAACTTTTCTGAAGGCGAATTCAAGCTGCATTGGGTTTGGTTGTTTGTTTGTTTTCAGCCCAAACAAACAAACATTGTATGTGGTTCAGACAGAGTCCCAAGGCAATAAACTGACTTCTGGATCAACCTTGCTCTTGCACAAGAGAAATTACTACAAAATTTGCTCTGATTATACTTGATTCATACTTGCTACATAAGACAGTTCTATTTTGCCTCTTGGTGAAGTTTCAATCAACATAACAACAACAGCAACAACAACACTTTATTTATATTCTGCCCTTCTCACCCCGGTGGGGACTCAGGGCAGACCACAATACACAAACACGGCAAACATTCAATGCTGCTTTGTATAGCCAATACACAGATAGACAGAACTTAGTGTCCAGCTGTTTTGGTACCATGGAAGGTTGGGCTCAAGTTCAGCCACAGGGGGTGCTGTTGCTCCATCCTCTATGATGAAGAGGCATCCGGATTTCCTCCTTCCTTTTGGTCACCCAGCATTTTCTGATTTTCTTTTTTTATGGCATTGTAAAATACCTTCCCCACTTTTAGCAGTACTTAATTTCTCTAATTGGTTTCGAACTGCTTAGGTCAACAGTGAGCAGGGTTGACAGTCAGCAGCTCACACTGCACTTGCACCTTTCGGTTGATAGATCTTATGGTTGTTGGTGATTTACCAGCTGTGCTAAACCTCCAGCCCATAAACCTCCATAAGATATCTATAATCAATTTTTAATTTATTACATTTATACAAGAGTAATAGTAATTTATGTCAATTGACTCTCACTTAGGAGAGGGACCCAATGTGTGATTGATACAAATACCCGATCATTTAAATTCAGCTTGCATCTTGATCAAGAAAAACTAGTAATGATCTTATCTCAGTTTTAAACAAATGAAGAAGCGCATTGACAATCTGATTTCAACAGTATGACTTTTTTTTTTTGTGAATTGCAGGAATGAAAGCTTTTTATTGCACTTTCAGGTCTGATAATGCAGACATCTTATTTGTTCTTGGAATTTAAAAGCCACTCATGAAAGAAAATCCATTATGTGCTGAAACTATATGTTGTATTACTAGCACTGAAGATTGTTTTCCCTATCTTCAAGTGAAGCAGCTCTTGGGAGAACTCCCTATTCCATGGACCTGGCATATCCTATGTTCTGCATTCTTGTCTGTTTGAGGCAACACCTTCCAACAAAGGATTCCTCCAAAAGGAAGCAGCCAGGTTTTGAAGCTGCAAGGCTATTCAATGTTAATCAAGCTGACCAATTGCAACATTCACATTTGCCTGGAACAGACAAGAGTTCTTTCTCCCACCCTGAACATTCCAAAGATATATAAGCCCCATTTGCCTATTTTCCAACAGACTCTCAACCTCTGAGGATGTTGGCCATAGATGTGGATGAAACGTCAGGAGAGAATGCTTCTGGAATACTCACAGCAGCATCCCAAGCTTGCTTCATCTTCTACATCACATCCATTGAGATACAAATATGGCTATCATGTCACCTCTCAGTCTTCTCTGCTCCAAGCTGAACATACCTCATTATATCATTCTCCACAAGTGTGAAACTTTCTGGTACTACTACTATCTTGAAAGATCTCTGCTTTGAGATGCATGTGCCAATGTACATAAAGCCACCCTCAATACTAAAAGTCTTCACATCCGGTCAGTGCTCACCCCCAAATTAGAAAGCAACCAAATGCCCTCTCTTCATACCAGTGAGAATATAGCTGTGATGGAAATCATACTGGTATAATTGCCATAATCTCTCATCTCATGTATACAAAGGTATGAAGTGCATACATAGCCAAGGAGTTATACTATTTGTTGCTGTTGTGCCTTCAAGCTGTTGGTGAATTCAAGTATGAATCTACCATGGGGTTTTCTGAGCCTATAAGCATGTAACTTGTCTCCCCGTGGGTGTAATGGTTGAGCAGGGAATAAAACTTTGGTCTCCAGAGTCATAATACCATGCCATGCTGGCTCCAGTTTTACTTTCAGCTTGCTCTGGAATAAGGGCATATTATTAATAAATTAATAAGATGCACATTTTAGTTTTTGCTTGCATCAAATTAATTAATTGCATCAATTTCTATACTTAATCAATTGGTATCCTCATATTTTATAAGGGCTCACAGTTTCTTTGCATGTGTCCCAGCAAGGATGAGGTACAAAGGAAGATGCACCAAGGAAGGGAGAAATTTCGTTCCACATCACGAGTAGTACATGTATCAGGCAATTAGTAAACATTTTGCACTGGATGCAAGTCAACATGTGAAGCTTCCTATGCTCCTGGTTTTGTTAAGTGACCCTGAGTGAAAAATCCTGTGACTCAAAAGGCTAGGTCACTGCTACCTGATCTCCATAAAGACATTATAATACCATTCAACCACCATGTCAGACTACACAGAGAAGCCATTGAAATACACAAGCATGTGGACAATTTCAACAGAAAGGAGGAAACCATGAAAATGAACAAAATCTGGCTACCAGTATTAAAAAAAACTCTAAAATTACAACAGCACAACAACAGAGAGGAAACAAACAAGGACATCTAATCACCTCTCAACAAAAGATTGCTCAAGGCACTGTCAGGCCATTATATGCTAATCAAGGTGGTCAGTTGAAACATTCACACCTAGCTCCAGCAGACAAGAGTCCTTTGTCTCACCCTGGTCATTCCACAGATATATAAACCCCTTTTCCTAGTTCCAACAGACCTCACTACCTCTGAGGATGCTTGCCATAGATGCAGGCGAAACGTCAGGAGAGAATGCCTCTAGACCATAGCCATATAGCCCGAAAAACCCTACAACAACCCAACTTCCTTAAGTTTTTTGTTTTTTTAAAGTAACTGCCTAAAGTTGATGTAGGTTTTTTGGGCTGTGTGGCCATGTTCTAGAAGCATTCTCTTTTGACGTCAGGAGAGAATGCTTCTAGAACATGGCCATACAGCCCAAAAAACTTACAACAACCCAGAGATTCTGGCCATGAAAGCCTTCAACAATACATTAACTGCCTAAATATCCAAATAGCACGAGATCCTGTCTAATTTTGGAAGTTGATCAGACCTGGTTAGCACTTAGATGGGAGATCATGAACAAATGACAGGCACTGTAGTCTACATTTCAGATGAAGACATTGGCAAACCACCTCTGAGTATTCCTTGCCTAAGAAAACGCTATGAAATTCATGGGTTCACCATAAATCTACATGAAGGCACATACAAATTGTATTGAAGGGTGAATACAATTTGGTACCCTGAATTTTCTGGGTACCAAACCTTGCAAATTGTCCTTGTCTCCGCTAGAGGGCAGTAGGTGCATGCAAGATATTAAACAAACATTTTACTAAAGAATAATCCACTATATGAGGACTCAGGTGCAGATAACACTGAGGAAGAAACATAGCAACTCTCGTGACAAGAAGTGTAAAAAATTCAGTGTGGAAGAGACAGGTTTCTAAAATAGGAAAAGCTGAAGATCATCTCTGGCAAAACACGCACATAAAAAAGCATTATCATAGGTCTATCCAAAATAGAATGTCACTTGATTGCTTTTCTTCTCTAGCCAGCACTGGAAAGTGATGCAACCTTGCAGAACTTGCTAACGGATGACTCAGTAGATGCAGAAAATAATTCTAATTCACCCCTTGCTTTGGAAGTTGCAGTTTTACAAGTCTTTAGCCTCCTCTGCCAAAGAAAGCTGGGGCTACTAAGCCAAATTTCACATCCCAGAATTCCATAGCATTGAGCCATGGCAGTTAAAGTGGTGCCAAACTGCATTAATTCTACAATGTAGATGCAGTAATAGTATGATCACATAAGCTGCCTGCTATAAATACCTGAAGAATGTGATCCTTGAGAATTCTCCAAGTACTTGGACTTATAGAATCATAGAGTTGGAAGAGACCTCATGGGCCATCCAGTTCAACCCCCCTGCCAAGAAGCAGGAAAATTGCATTCAAAGCACCCCCAACAGATGGCCATCCAGCCTCTCTTTAAAAGCCTCCAAAGAAGGAGCATCTACCACTCTCCAAGGCAGAGAGTTCCACTGGTGAACAGCTCTCACACTTAGGAAGTTCTTTCTAATGTTCAGGTGGAATCTCCTTTCCTGTAGTTTGAAGCCATTGATCCATGTCCTAGTCTCCAGGGCAGCAAAAAACAAGCCTGCTCCCTCCTCCCTATGACTTCCTCTCACATATTGATACATGTCTATCATGTCTCCTCCTTCTCTTCAGCAGGCTAAGCATGCCTAGCTCTTTCAGCTGCTCCTCAAAGGGCTTGTTCTTCAAACCCTTGATTACTTTAGCTGGAAACATTCCAGCTTTTCAACATCTTCCTTACATTGCGGTGCTCAGAACTTGTTCTGATTCATACTTTTAGACTAAACATGCAACTGTTCAATTGATTTTCCACTTTTCCAAATTTTACTACCCATGAAGATTCCCAGAGATCAACATACATGTCCTGCATGTGGCCAAACCACATCAGAGTTTGGTCAAAAGTGTGTGGCTAAAAGACAAGAGGAAAAAATATTAATCAGGAAAAACATACAAAACTATTATAATAAGCTGAGAAATCCTAGAACTTGTGTGTTGAGTTCTGGAAGGGCAAGTGTCTGCCCTCTGCAATTCATTTTCCACTACTGAGTGCGAACTGCTTCTGCATTTTGAATTGGATTTGCAGAAAGGATAAAAGACAATGGGGGAATGGGACATAGAGAGAGAAATCAGGACATCATAAAAATAACTTAGGAAGTGGGACAGCAGAGAATGAGCAGGGGGTGTCCCTGTCAAAACAACAATGCCAGCAAGGCCT